CATGACCGGGCAGTCCCCGCTGTCCCCCAGCGCCATCACCCCCATTGCTCCCCCTCCTCTCTCAGGTGCACTGAAGTCCTACCTGCGGGAGCTGCCCCAGCCCTTGATGACCTTCGAGCTCTACAATGAATGGCTCCAAGCGGCCAGGTAGGTGCAGGCTTTGGGGCAGAAAAACCTGGCGAGGCCCAAATGAACCCCACTCACCCTGCTCCATCCCTCCCAGCACTCAGAGCAGGGCTGCTCGGTCCCATTTGCCATGTGGGGTGATACAGATGTAGTTCCTGATCTGTCCCATGCTCAGCAGAAATCCAGATAGCCCAAAATCTTGGAGAACAGCAATGAACATGGGAAGGGGAAGGCTGCAGCCTTTCTGATTGCAAGAACAGCATATTGTGCAAAAATGCACTTGGCCTCAATGGTGTGAGCCCCATCTCACTGGCCCAACAGTGCCCAGTTTGGCCTCTTTCTTTTGGGATGGAAGGGGCGGTGGAGGAAGCACAGCAAAAAGCCAGGGAAAAGGGGAGAGAGTGTCTTTCTGAAGGGATAGGCTTCATGCCAATGACCCCATGGTCACTGTGAAATGACCACAAGCTATGTTTCTATCAAATGAAACCCTCTGAGGCTTTGGGGTGTAGTTTTGTCCTCTATGGATGCCTGCTTAGCTGCCCAGTAAAGGCAGCAGCAGGGCATCTCTGTCCACAGGGCCATGGCTTGCACAGGGTGGCCGACGCTGACCTTCTTGCCTTGCACTGTCCCTCTCTGCCATAGGGAGCGGGCTGAGCTCTCCACTCCTTCTCTCTTGCAGCCTAAAGGATGATGAGAGCCGCATACAGAGCCTGCGGGACACCTGCAGCCGCCTGCCCCGCGACAGCTACAACAACCTGAGGTGTTTTGGAAGGACAGGGCTCCTTCAGCAACCACTGGGGCAGCTGATCCTTCCCCAAACCCACACATACCACCCGCTTGACCTCCTTCTACCCACAGGTATCTGATCAAGTTCTTAGCCAAGCTGGCTGAACACCAGGAGGTGAATAAAATGACCCCCAGCAACATCGCCATTGTGCTGGGCCCCAACCTGCTGTGGTCACAGCAGAGCACAGGGTAAGACCTGGCTGGGAGGGGTGGGAGGCAGCATCCCGGCCCCAGCTGGGGTGCCCTGAGAGCAAACACCATGGGAAAGGCTGATCCGGCAGCCTTCAGGCTGGTCTAAAGCACCTCCATCCTCAGGTCCTGTCCCTTGTCCCCACAGTGCCAGAGTGGCACATCCCTTCACCAAGCACATGTCCTCTTGGCTGCCCTGCAAAGCAGCAGAGGACGTGGCTGAGACCTGGAGAACCTGTGACATGGATGGCCTCCAACACCAAACCAGGGATTCCAGGACAGGGAACAAGGGCCACCTACCACCCGCCTCAGATGGGCTTTGCCCACTCAGGAATGGTTAATGTCTCAAAATCCCTTTTCTGATGCCTCCCCCACCTCTGTCTCTCAGAGACCCCATGCAACTGGACTTGGCCTCGGTCTCCTCCATCCAGGTGGTCAGTGTGGTTGAAGCCCTCATCCAGAATGCGGATACTCTCTTCCCTGGAGGTAGGGCCAGGGCCTCACCTAGGGGGGTGGCAGCCCAGAGTGAAGGGAAAAGGAAGAGAAAGGGACATTTCTCCTTCCCCAGGGGGAGGGAAGCAGGGGGGCTGCACCATGGGGTCATCGGGGGAAGCTCTGGGCAGCAAGCACTTCCTCACGGGATCTCCTCCTTTCTTTCCACCCAGAGGTAGACTTCAACGTCTCGAGCATGTTCACACCACCAGCAAACAGCAGACTTAGCAAGGCCACCCCAGTGGAAGAACTGACCCTGGATCTCCCTCCAGCCAGCACCCCCACTCTGATGGATGGAGAGGTGTAAGTCCGGTGGGAGCTTGGAGCTGTCCCAGCTCTCCCCATGTCCTCCCCATCCCACCCCACCCCACAGGCACCACCATGCCCAGCCAAAGCCTGACTTGACCCATTCTCTGCGCAGCACCTCGAGGGATCCTGAGGCCAGGTCATCCCCGGTGGTGACCAGTCCATCTCCTGAAGCTGCAGGGCCACCAGCTCCAACGTTGACTGACGACACTGCGCACAAAGGTTAGGGTGCCCCAGTGCTGGGGAAATTACACCCCGCAACGCCACCTTCTCTGCTTTGCCTTCACCCTGCGTGAGAGGGTGCTGGGGAGGTCCCTGCCACCAGCTGAGAGGACGGACCTCTGGTTAGGGCAGCACGGCCAGGATCCAGTCCCCCATTGTGTGCTCCAGCCCCAGACGAGGCGGGACTGTGGGATGGACATGGTAGATCCTCCAGTGTCCGGTTGAACACCCCCTGTAAGAGGCGTCAAAGCTCATAGCCTGTTGTGAAGAAAAGAGGGTGGATAAGGACCTCAAAAGCTGATGTGCCCTTGGGTCTACAGTATGGGAGCGGGGCAAGGGGCAGTGTGTCTGTCATTCTACCCACAGCTCCTGTGTACCCCACAGCAGGCACCACAGCCCCCTCTGTCCCGGGGAGAGACCCCAGCAGAGAAGACCCCATCCCACCGCAGCTTTCTTTGCAGGCAAGCGCCCGGC